GTCTGCGTGTTCTGCTTATTCACCAAGAGTTGATCAAAGAAAACATCAAGCAAGCTAGCTAGTGAATTTATTTGGAGGAAGATACATGTCAAGGTCATCAAGTGTCATAAGTCTGCAAGAAGCAGCACCACCGCGCCTTGTGCGCATGGAGCGGAGGCCTACTTTTGGAAAAAGATTGGAGACTATCGACGAAGAGACTGAGCACGGAGGTCGCGGCGAGAAGCAGCAGTTACCTGGATTTGGATCTGCAAGTAACAAGGCTGAATTTTCCAAACAAAATCATGCTGTGGTTGCTCGTTGATCAAGTTATGAATAAGCATGACCAAGTATTTAAGTAGTTTAACCTAAAAAGTAGCAAGTGTACGTATTGCAAAGCTAAAGTTGTTGCCTTTGGAGCAGTAATACATACGTATATGCTAAAGTTGTTTCAATACTACTCTCTCGAAATAATGAAAAAGGGGTGGAATAACAAAACAAATGAACATAATAGCATTCGTGACATTTTTGAACAATAATCTTGTAGCCTAGTTGAGAAGCACGACACCATCTTCAAGTTTCATAGATGTTGGCGTTGAATTTGAATTTGATTTTCTACGCAACACAATCTCATTGTATGCACACCAATAAAAAAGATTCAACGCCAACGTCTATGAAACTTGAAAACGCTGGAGGAAAATTCTTTTGTAAATAGATTTTAAATTGTGATCGATCTTTGGAACCCCTTAATAGCTTATTGTAGTACCGCACGAAGATTTCAAATGGTGACACATAATGTCATATTATCATGTCAATTCGTACAGAAATTCTTTGTCTAGTTGCAGTCTTAGGGGAAGCTCTGATTGTTGATATAACTACGTACTTGCGCATAACCAAATCACGAATACAACTGATGAAGAGAAGATTTCAAAGAGGAATAAACAGCATGCCAGCCATTCTGCGAGGGGTGCACCGTGTCCCAAAAGAAAGACCGTTCGGGATGACTGCATATGCTGTACTTCTTTGCTCCCGTACTCCCGTCCACACTACCGCATGAGTACTCGCTGCTCACCCCCACACAGCATGGTTTTAGTGGTTCATCAATCTGGAACGTCGTGTTTCCTGATACACCAAGAAAGCATATGCTCAATCAACTACTTGAATTCTCAAAAACAAGCATGTCACAGAATGCATAGATTATGCAGCAACTAAGAGCAGCCTCTCCATAAATGGGGGTAAGGCTAGCCGACATTCACCTCTCCCAGACCCTGCTTAAAGCGGGAGCCTTGTGCACTGCGTACGACCTTTATACGATAACATGTAGATGAGACGTTGCCTAGTGCGCGTAGTCCAGTACCACGCAACAGTTACTTGATCTAAAATAGAGGAGGAACTAAAGAGATCGATGGTCAGCTACTTGGTGGTTCATGTATCATCCATTGTTAAATATGTCATACGTACTACATTCCTTTCTACACAAATTTTTCCTCTTGTTTTTTCGCATGATGACTTTTGTGGAGTGGAGTGTCAATAACAGCTCCCATTAAATGCAGTTACGTACCTTGATGGTCTTTTTGGGGATTAATTGCAGACGAAAATGCGTCATAGAGATCCAAGATTACAAATGCAGAATTGTTTGACTCCTTATTCAACTGTTCCACGTTTTGGCGCAAAACTTGGTTGTGGAACACTGAAGCCAAGTTGAGCGATTCATTGCAGTTCTGATAGGAAAGAAAGGAAGTTAAGCGCGGAATACATCCCATGGGCTCTACTGCAGTAACCGCTATTTTTGGCACTCCCAAATCACGTATACGCCTCAAATCTACAGCAATCTGCTTAACAACCGATTTGGTGAACTCTGCCAAATCCTGTCATTTGGAGGAATATCAGTGCTGGAGTTAGCAGCAAGCCTCACAATCCAATATATAATTGTAGCCATGCCAAGAACCCTAAAATAGTTGTATACTTGATTAAAAAAATGTTCAATTTTTTTTAAAGCCATTAATAATCTTTGTATCACTTATTTGAAGGAAAATCTCATTAATTAATCATAAGCATGCAAGGCATTTCTCAATGGTTTAGGTGAGTGTGATGTTTATATATATAAATCAACCATTGTGAGTTTGATTTGTATTATTTTATTGTTATAGTGGTGTGAGTTTGATATGGGTGTGTTTTATATATTTAATGTGGGGCATGTCTACTTCTGTATTTTATGATTGATTACCTATTTTTTATCCTCTCTTGTCATTTATTATATATGTGTGTTCACACTCATAAGTTCAATATATTGAAATTAAAAATAAGAATCACCCTAATAGCACTTGGATTTTCCAACCAACTGTAGAAAATTGATTTCTATATTATTGGTATCACACTCAATTTTCCGACTAAGGAACTAAATAGTATTCATCTCAAAAACACGTCTTTAAAACATTAGCATGTATCACCAAAACGCATCAAAATTTAAAACTACACACACACACATTAAATAGAGTTAGGTTAACCACCACTTACCTCACTGCCATTGCCTGTTTTAACCATATGAGTTGCGTAGTCGTTCCCCGCAACTGACACGAGAGCTATGGACGATTTAATTAGGTCGCCTTTGGCATACAGTTTTTCTTGTTCAACTAGCTGTTGGAAAAAGTCGATTTGGGTGGTCAAGTTTGGTTCACTCACCAACGTATCGAAAACTCCCGTACCTCCATATGCGAAGTTCATTCCCTTCTCCACTTCCGATATGTTCGCTTCTTTTCTCAATGCGTAAGGAACTGGAGGTCTTAGACCCAAGTATTCAGCTGCATATACACATAAATTGCAACATATCATTAATTAGAAACTTAATTATTGATCTTTTAGTTTCATTTTACTCTTTGAAATTGGATTTGTCTCACTTTGTTCTTGAAAGTACCAAAATTGAGCATTTCGCCCATTTCCGTCAATTATGTCTCATGAAAGTTAAACGAAAAGACAGATGAGACATTTCATACCATGCTGCCAAAGATGAGCCATTGTTGTTGGCGAGGTATGAAATTTTTAGACTCTATAAACCTCTAAAATTGCCAAATCTCACCTAACGTGGGCGTAAATAAAGTGAAATAGCTCGATTTTGACAGAGAATAAACTGAGACAAATTCAATTTCAAAATAAAAGTGAGACTAAATGACAGTATCATAGAGCAATTCAATTAATAAGCCTTAATTAGAAGCAAAACTGAAATTTATACTACCATATGCTAGGATGCTCATTCATACATTATTCTATTTCCGATACAACGATACATCTACACTTTAAAAGTAGAGGGAAAAAAAAAGAAAACTAAGGAAAATGATTTCAAAACTTTGAATTTTACCAAAAGTCATATAATAACTTTAGGTAAGGACTAAAGAAAGAAAAGGAAAAGAAAAAACTCAACCAAAAGCTGGTGCAATGCGCACGCCAACCTGTGTTGAGTTTAAAAAAAAAAAGTTAGTGTTCAGTTCAAGAAATAATGATACTATCAGTATTCAGTTTAAGAAATAGTGATATTATCCGTATTCAGTTTAGGAAATAGTAATAGTAATCATGTTTAGTTTTCATAAATAGTTAATTCTTAGTTTAAAAAATAGTGTAATACCCGTGTTCAGTTTCAGAAATAGTCAGTTTAAGAAATATGAGGGAGAGAAGGGAGAGTGTGTCTATGTGACAGACGTGAGTCAGTTTTCTATTATTATTTTTACTTTATTTTTTATTATATTAAACTTTTAACATTTCATTTTATAAATGTCATTCTATGTTCTTTAGAAGTATATTTTTTTCTTAAACGGAGAAAATTTGAAGTGCAAAATAAAAATTTTAGAATGTCAATAATAATTTCATTCACAAAATTCAAACTTAAAAACCTCACATACAACAAGTAAAGATAATATTACTAGACCGTAATCATTCTATTTAAATCTAACGAAAAAGACTCTTGAGTTGAGAGAGTAGGAAACCAAACCTAAATAATCGGTGAGCACACGACCATCGGAAAACCGGCCGGCTGGCTTTCCAGGAAAAGTGATCCCATAAGGTTCCTTCCATGAAGGAGACACAGATTTTCTGATATTCCCAGTATCAACATACGAGTCCCCGAGCACGAAAAATTTCATAGAACCATCATTTCTGCGGCGTTGATGGTGGTGGCGGTGGTGGTGTGCCGCAAGAACTTCTGCTACTACATGTACAAAGCATTTAAAAAAAAAAACAGAGTAAATATCCAAATTAATGAAAATAGAATTGTAATGTTGAAAATTCAATAATAATTAAGTTATTTGACTAACCAGCAAAAGCGGCAACACATAAAAGAAGGAGACAAAATGAAGAGGCGACGGTGGTTTTCTTCTCCATTTGAAATCAGATTTTGGTGGAAAGAAGCTGCGATGATTTATATATACATATACATGTACTTTACTCAAGAGTCAAGAGCATTAGGTTTTACAGGTTAGAAAAAGAAAAAAAAAGAAAAAAAAAATTCATATGATACAGTTCAAGATGCTCCATTCAAAATTAATTGACCTTCTAATTAACCTTATTAGTGCAATTTCCATTTAAGAAATTTTCCATTCTGTAAAGATGGCAAACTTTTTGGACTTGTATGTAATTAATCCTGCAGTTCCATAACATTTTCGACTTTATGTAACCATTGCAAGCGGTGGATTGCTTTTTTAGTGATTAAAGCCTACTACTTTTTTTTTTTTTTCCAGCCTTCTGGGTTCAATCACCACTCATTCTCATAGTGTAAATTAGAGTAGTAATACCAGTTATATTCGTAAGTACTTTTAAAATAACTAAAAATACTTTTAGACCACCAAGAACATTTTTTATCATGTTTGCCAAGATGAGTTAAAAAATGCTCCGAATGTTGAAAATAACACTTCAAGTGCTTTTTTGTGTGCTTATTTTGTAATCCTAAACGCTTTTCATACTAAAGTTATTATGGACTTAAAAGAGTAAATTTTTGTGAAGACGAGTTGGATTATTTGAGTGATAATCCAAACAAAACCACCCTTAAACCACTTTTACTCAACAATCCATTAAGAACTCAATTTAATCCCTATAATAATTCAATCTATTTCTTTTGAAATGTAAAATGGTTACTATCAAGTATCAAAGGTTAAAGGAATTCACTGTAGTACAGAGTAATTCATTTCTCGGTGGCAAATCTCTCTATAACTTCCTCTCTCTTTCATCTGGTTGCTGCTGGTCTGGTCTGGCCCCTGCTACTGTATCTTGGAGGGCTGGTCTTGGCAACGTCAACGACTATCATCCAGCCATTTATGATCTGCAGGCAACATTAACACAAAATAGGCTAAGCTTTTATCTTTCTCGAGGGTTACAAGACTAGGCCTGTGTGTTTGATTTATTGAGATCGGATTTATACAAAACGAAAACCTTGTTGAAACTTGCCTTGCCATTCATCTCTTTGAGAGCTACACTAGCAGCTTCCTCAGTGGTGTATTCTATGAATGCATAACCTTTGGACCTTTTAGAAATTTTGTCCATTATTATTTTAACTGTTGAGAAAAGCAGTTCATCAGCACGAGCATACCAATTCCAGGAAATCAGAAACCCCGTTTTAAGCTATAAATAAAAGGGTAGTACCTTCAACAAGCTCTCCATAGCCTTCAAATGCAGCACGGAGGGTTTTCTCGGATGTATAAAACGATAGGCCTGTTCAGAAAGCAATATCCTTTTAAGGGAATATGTAATGAGGAAAAAAGCAGCTATAAAAAGTTATGAAGATCGAGATCTTATGAATAATTACAATGAATAGGGTGCAAAGGAATCCTGTTCAAATAAATGAAAGTTTAAGACCAGAATTGAATTTGCAACATACCAGTCACAAACAGTTTCTTTGTTTTTGTGGGGGCTGTTTCACTTGTCGCTCCAGAAGTTGAGAGATTGGTAGAATTCTGTAAATAACTACCTGAGAAACGCACCGCTAACTCATATAAATGTTTACAGTGGAAGATAGTGTTCAATGATAGCATTGATGCCATCAAATAGAAACAGACCTAACCTAACAAATATTAAATCAAACTATAAAAAATTGGTTTCTTGAAACGAAAAGCAAAGTAAATAGTCACCACAGTCTATAAATTTGTCCTTAATAGTATTAATGTCAGTTTGTTTATAACCATTCATATTTTCTTCAGGAATCGAAAACTTTGTATTCGAAACATCGAGAAACATAGCATTCCACAGATGAAACAGAAGTACTTAATGTGACAAAGAGTCATATTCAAAACATCAAGAAACACGGATTTTCTACCACTTGGTAAACGTGGTATAACTGATCCCATCATTTAGTGGAAGAAAAATCAGGAATGAACTTCATAACTTAGAAGATAACCACTGTCCAATGAAGGGTCAAGCTCCATCAAATAATCCACCAAGCTTCTCCAAATACTTAGCATTGGTAAAAAATGAACAACCAAAATAATTTGAAGAACACCAGGAAGACATGACCTATTAAAAATGAAGCTCTTTTTTCACAGGTTGGTCAGATAACCTAAAATTTGTCGGTAGTAATATTTTCCTTCTGCTTTCTCCATGTGGTTCATCTCATTTACACCATTTTCTACCCATACCAAAATTCAAACCTTTTATTTCCAGGACAAAAATAGTCGTGATTTTTATATTTTATACTCCCAAGTCATACATCTTAAGAACTTCTGGGAAAATTTGCTATATCAAGTCACCAAAGTCCCCAAGTCCCATTAATCTACATAACCTTTTAATTCCAGTCTCTTGGATAACATTACACTCACAGATTTAAATTGTCTAAAAGTATTAAGCAGTCACAAAACAAGTGTGCTATCATATTTTCTGCATGGACATAAGTCACAAGAAGAAGCAGATCTTAGGTTCAAAAGGCATTCAAAATCTCAAATCAAAAAGCAAAGTTCTTACTTAACAATGAGTTAGAAGATCTTATATCTAATTCTAAGATGACAACCACAAAAGATATTGTTCGTGAAAGATCACATCCAAGTTAGAAAAGTAAAAACCTCCATAATCTTTATTCTCCGACTCCCAATTCTTGTCAGGCTCAACAGATAAAACCCCAGGAACACCTGCAGCATATAGGATCATGAGCCATCAAGAGGACAGGTGTATTAACACAAATGTGGCACAGAGAAATTAAGAGCATACACTAACCAGCAACTTCCTGTGCACACTCTTCATCAAGTTCACAACAGAACCCAAAGTTAGATTGCCAGGAAACATGATAAATACACATTTGTGCATCCTTCTCACTACCGAAAAAATGAAACACAAATTAGAAAAACAAAGTAGTATAAGAAAGGCAACAGCGTTGATGCTCATAATCCAATACTTACTTCCCCAAGACCTTTGTTAGTATTTGAGCATAATAATCCACCATTTGTGCCTTTGTAACAACCCCAATGCTGGGTTTATCCATTCTAACAAGCCACCTTTTTGTATTCAAAAGAGGAAACAACAAAGCACTTCCACTTCGAGAGGACGACATATTACTTGACTTAACATTTGGGGGACTATAATCCTTCTTTTGAGAAACATAATCCGGGTCAGGCTTAACCAACAAAACCCCCGGTAAACCTACAACAATTTCATAAAATGAATTTAGTCATTCAACACTGAGAACAACGAACCTCAAAAAAACTCATTATCTGATTAAACATATTATATCTGCTGAAGTACTCACTCATTTCATCAAAACCACAACATATATAAAACACTAACATCTACTCTGCAGAAAAACCAATTCAATAACAAATAGAGTAAAAAAGAATCGAACTTACGTGCGAGCTTGCAGGAAGTTTCTTCGTCAATATCACAACAAAACCCGAAATGGGTATCCCAAGCAGCATCATATATACACATTTGAGCATCCTTCTCACTGAAAAAACCAACATCAAACCACAACTCAGGCGAAACTCCAAGCAGTAGCAAAATAAAGGAAATAAGTTACGGCATACCCACTTGCCCAAAACGGTTCGAAGGGTTTCGACATAGTATTCAATAACTAGCTGTCTGGAAATCGCCGCCCCTTGCGGAGGAGCCTCCATGAGCACCACCCAATGGCGGTTGTCGCTGGAAGCGGAAGACGAAGGAAGAGAAGTGGAAGGCGATGCTGTCGCTGAAGTTGAAGCAGCACATGATGTTTTAACGGAGAAACAAGGGCAAGAAGTGAAGGAAAATGAAGAGAAATTAAAGGGGTTGTTGAGGGTTGGTGAGAAGGGGAATCGGAGGTTGGGAGTCGGGGTCTGAGACTGGGTTTTGGGAGGTTTGAATGACAATCTTGTGGATGCGATAACTCCTGCGGGGGGACAGAGAGACTCCATAGTTGCCTAGCTGCCTGCCATGGAAAATGTTTTATAGATATTATAGCAAGCTATTATTATCATTTTACAAATTTCATTCTACACTCATTCAGTGTAATTTTTTTTCTAATTATAAAAAGTTTGGAATGCAAAATAAGATTTTTAGGATGTCAATAACAATTCTTTATAGTAAAATTACTACCATAAAAATTTGGTTACTAGTTATTTTTCTCTAAGGGGACCAGCACATCTCATAAAAATGTGGGAGGTCCAGGTTCGATGCTTTGAGTTGTTAAGTCTGTTTGACTATGACCACGAGCATGTTGAAATTCCACGTAGCCTATCTGAACCCGAAATGGGTGAATACCATTGAGAAATCCCTACAATCTTTTCATTCTCTTTTGCCGCACTCTCTATTCCTTGTTAGTAAAATACGCTTCTTTGCTATGTTAAGAAATCAAACGTGGAATTAGATAAAATTCTAGGTTTTGGATGAATAATGTTCTTATTCTATTCTTCTCACATAGAGGAATATATAAACTTATACAATCTCCTACAAACTAGGAAACAAGTATCCCAAATCTACAAGGATACCAATTACATAACTTTATACCCAAAATAACTCCCCATTCCTTATTCCCTAAAGTTGCCTCACGCAACACTCCCACGTAAGTTGGTGCGTAGATATTACCTAGGCCCAACTTGTCAAGTGAGTTATGAAACACCCTTGTCGCCACTACATGCGTTAACACGTCAGCCAGCTGGTCTTCGGATCTTACGTATAGAATATCAATTAACTTAACATCCAACTTTTCTTTGATAAAATGTCTATCCACCTCAACATGTTTTGTATGATCATGCTGAACTAGATTATTAGCTATTTCTCGCATAGCCTGAATTTCACAATATAAAAACATTGCTCCACATGGCTTGATCCCAATCTTCGTAAGAAGAATCTTCAGCCATAACAACTCACAAATCCCATGCGCCATCCCACGGTATTTAGCCTCTGCCGTGGACCTCGCTACCACATTCTGTTTCTTGCTCCTTCAAGTCACAAGGTTTCCTGCAACAAATGTAAAGTACCCTGACGTAGAGCGTCTATCAGTAATGTTCTCGGCCCAATCAACATCAGTGTACCCTTTTACCTCCATATGCCCATGTTTCTTGAAAATCAACCCTTTTCCAGGTGCACCTTTCAAATAACTCAATATCTACATAACAGCAGCCATGTGATCTTCACTCGGAGAGTGCATAAATTGACTTACTACACTAACAACATATGCAATATCTGGTCTCATGAGAGATAAGTAAATCAACCTTCCTATTAACCTTTGGTATCTTTCCCTGTTTGTTAGAACCTGATCTAGGTAGATAGCCAAATGATGATTTTGAACTATAGGGGTTTCTGCTGGTTTGCATGCCAACATCCCAGTCTCAGACAAAAGATCCAAAATATAATTCCGTTAAGATAAGTAAATACCGTCACGGGAACGAGCAACTTCAATTCCCAAGAAGTACTTTAAACCTCATAAATCTTTCATCTCAAACTCTAAATAGAGATACTTATGTAATCTCTCCATTTCCTATGTATCATCTCATGTGACTATCATGTCATCCACATATATTATCAACAAGGTAACCTTTCCTCCCTTGCGTTTGATAAACAAAGTGTGATCCGCATTCCCTTGTCGGTACCTATATTTCTTCATTGCATCAGTGAATCTTCCAAACCATGCCCTTGGCGATTGTTTGAGTCCATAAAGAGCCTTTCGTAGTCTACATACTTTCCTACTTTATTCTGCAATTCATACCCAGGTGGGAGCTCCACGTATACTTCTTCCTCCAAGTCTCTATGTAGAAAAGCATTTTTCACATCAAATTGTTTCAACCGCCAATCAAAGTTAGCTGCTAAAGACAACAAAACCTGAATAGTATTCATTTTTGCTACTGGAGCAAATGTTTCCTGATAATCCACTCCAAAAGTCTATGTGTACCCCTTGGCTACCAATCTTGCCTTGTATCTGTCAATGGTTACATAGCCCTTGTGTTTGATGGTGAACACCCATTTGCATCCCACTGGTCTTTTTCCTTGTGGTAGTGACTCCACGCTCCAAGTTCCATTTTTTTGAAAAGCCTTCATTTCTACCTCCATTGCTTCCATCCATCAAGGATCACGTAAAGCTTTTTCCACTTTTGTTGGAATTTTGATTCCATCCATTATATTCACCAAGGCTTGGTACTTGGAAGACAGTCAGTGAGTATAGACATACTTTGCAATAACATATCTAATTTTTCCATCTGGAGAATACTTGTCATGAGGTTTCCCACGATTTTGTCTAGGAGGTAATACATAAGTACTTTCAATGTTAGTCAAATTATGAGCTTCATCATATTAGGATAAACTTACCTCATGGATATCATCGGGGACACAGACGGGTACAATTAGAGGAGGGTTATTTCTTGAAGTGTTTGGGCTGTCAAAAGTAGTTAAAGGTTGAGGCTTCCTGCTGCACGACCCAATCTTTGTGCTGTCTTCAAAAAGACTTTTGGCCCTCAGGCCCACCTGTCAAGCTTTCGGCCTTCAGGCCTTTAAGCCCGCCTGTCTTATCTGCCATACTTGGTAAGCCCAAATTTAGCTCACCCAAGAGGCTGGGCTCACAGTACTCAAGTTAGTGGGCTCATGGCTTCTCCAAACCACGACTAGACCACTAGAATTCATGGCGGGCTGGCAAATGCTATTACGGCAAGTGTCATCCATTTGCATAGTTGGTAGATCAATCCAACTATAATCTTCATTTGTGCTCATCTCCCCTGAAGATTATAGTGGGTGTGTTCAGTGAGAACAAAACATCTCATGCTAGGAAAATATAACATCCATGGTGACGTACATATGCTTGGTGGGTGATAACACCGGTACCCCTTTTGCTGATTATTAAAGCCTAGAAAAATACAACGTAGTGCACATGGGTCCAACTTACTGCGTTGATTTTTGTGGAGATTGCACATATGCCACATGGTAATGTCACATGGTCAACAAAAACTTCCATAGGAGTGTGAAAATTATGCACTCGGGATGGCATTCAGTGCATTAGATAAACGAATTATTGAACGACATCCGCCTAATAGGAGTGAGGGGCGTGGGCACCAATGAGTAGTGCTCGAGTGGTTTCCAAAATATGTCTAATTTTGCGCTCTGCAACACCATTTTGTTGTGGAGTTTGTGGGCAAGTAGTCTAAAAAATAATGCCGTGCTCCTAAAAAAATTGAGAGAGTTCAGTGTTGAGATATTCCCTACCATTATCTAACCTAAGAACCTTAAGGGGAAGAGAGTATTGATTTTTAACCATGCAATAAAACTGGTGAAAATTTTGTCCAACCTCACTTTTATGTTTCATAGTATAAAGCCATGTCATTCGGGTGCAATCATCCACAAAGATAACAAACCAACGAACTTCGTGATTAGTAGATATTGGAGAAGATCCCCACACATCAGAATGAACTAACTCAAAATGAAATATTCTTTTACTGAAACTCAAATGATAAGAAGTACGATGACCTTTTGCAAGAGTCCCAACATTACACTGGAAATCAAAGTCTGAAATGCCATGAAATAAAGACGGAAGCAATTTTTTCAAGTAACCAAAAGATGCATGCCCTAATCAACGATGCCATAGCCAAATTGTCTTATACTTGTTCAGGTGGCCACTGCTCACTTGATTTACTCGACTTGTCGATACATCATCTACATAATATAACCTTCTCCTTTTAGTACCACGCCCAATTATCGCCCGAGTCTAGATATCCTGAAGTAGGCAAAGAGTGGGAAACATTAACACAACACAATCTAATTGCTCAGTAACTTGACCAACAAAAAGTAGATGATTGGATAATGACGGGACAAGTAATGCATTGTGAATAGACAAAGATGGAGTAAGGGAAATAGAACCCGCTCCCGTTACAGGAGCAACATCACCGTTGGCTGTAATGACATCTTCCTTAGATGGTGAAGTCATGTGATAAAATAATGATGCATCGTAAGCCATATGGTCTGTAGCTCCATAGTCAATTACCCAACCAGTATCTCTTTTGGTGGATATTATTAAAACAAGATCAATTTTACCTGAATCTTCTAAGTTGTCACCCATTGAAATTTGATTGATTAAGGATAGAAATGGGCCTGTTTTAGTCTCGAGTATGCTGCATCTGAAATCAGCATTGCAGATTGGGCTTTGCAAATTGGGCTGCTGCAATTTGACTACTGACAGAGTTGTGCATTTATGCCCCCAGTTTTTTGTTCTGCCATTGTACGGACTGAGTTGTAAATTGTTTCAACTTTGTCGTAGCTTTGTTGATTCCAAAGGCTACGGTGCTGCTTTGATATTTCTGGGTTCAAGATTTGATGAACACCAGATTTTGACTGCTAGGGTATACACTGGATTAGGGTTTTTTTTTTCGAGAAGAGACAGGTCGAAACCCGCTCTAATACCAAGATAAAATTCTAGGTTTTGGATGAATAATGTTCTGATTATATTCTTCTCACATAGAGGAATATATAAACTTATACAATCTCCTACAAACTAGGAAACAAGTATCCCAAATCTACAAGGATACCAATTACATAACCTTATACCCAAAATAACTCCACATTCCTTATTCCCTAAAATTGCCTCACGCAACAAAATTTTTTGTTACAAATCAGTTTATCAATATCATCACTGAATCATATTCTTTTAAAACAACAAATTTTATCTCCATATTTTTTAAATCCTAATAGCATGAACATTCACCACAATATGTAAACCCAACTCTACGTTTACGAATTTTAGATTATACATAAATTTTGTATGCATTATATTAATAATTTTTGGATTATGTGAATTGATATTTTGATCATGCATTGAATTATCAGATTGAATTAAAATTGATTTTTTTTTAAAATTAGACTGTTTTTTTTCGAAACCCAGCTAGCTGTAAGGTTTGAGCCGCACCACCACGCGAGTCCTGAGTTGCAATGCACTAGAACACATCCCGCCCCACCTGAGAACCTAAGAAAACGACGCCATTTGGCATCATCCCAACCCAGAAAACTCCAGCCTCACTTGAAGCCAAGGCCACGATTTTGCCGTCCCCTTTTTCTGGAATCATGACCTACAGTCGTGCTCTTTTGGATTTTGCATCATCATCTCCGACAATGTCTCTTGAATTTGCGTTGAAATTCATCGAATTCGAGGATTCCCCGTTTTGAATCCTCTTGGTTCTACCCTTTCCTGATGTCGATGATCCTCCTCTGTCGTTAAGATTGGTTCTTCAACGAACCGCATGCAGCCGTGATACAAAAGAAAGTTACCACACTGTTGAACTTTTGATTTATGTTATATTCATATCCGGAGGCTAGACATGACAAATGAACATGAACAGATGCCCAGTGACGTCACGTGTCGATCTTGGATGCACCCTGGGATCTGAGCGTGACAATCAAAGGAAGAGAGCTTGAGATTTCACAGTGAGAAGTTGTCGGTGGCGAACTTCTTTGTTCATGAGGGCAACTGTTTTCATGGAACCCAACAAAGCTCTCACCTTCGAGGAATTTCACATCCCTCGCCCCAAATCCGGTGAACTTCTCATCAAAAGGGGAAGAGGATGTCCTTCTGAATGTGGTGTTAGGAGAGTAGGGGAGGTTGAAGACGGAGATAGGGAGGTCGGCGAGGAGTGAATGAATGGTGTGAGGGGCCTACAAAATTATTTTTGTTATTAATTAATTTTAATTGTTAAATAAAAAATAAACAATTTATTAATTAATTGATTTTTTATTTCAGTCGGCAAATGAGTAGGTCACACTCATGACACGTCATCATTTAATAGCTGAATTGACAAAAAATTTAACAGAAGTTTGAAATTGTGTTCATAATTTGAGGTATAACATTACGAATTTGAAGTATAAGGTATGAGATTATGTTGTGACAAAAGTAAAATAGTTTTGTGTAATTTATGAAAATATGACATCTCTAACAAGAGTGCAGCAACACCCATTTTTATTAAAAAGAATTAAAAAAAGGCAAAAGGAACCAAAAGAGGCACGTGTCACGCGTGAAAGAAAATTCACCCACTCGCAGAAACACACGGAATCCATCGTCAAACTCAAACCCTATCTCTCCCTTCCTCTGCAATTCCATTCGTTTTCTCTCTCTCTCCCTCTCTCTTTCCCTTTCCCGTTCCGAAACCCTAGATTAACCCCCAATCTGACATGAAATCCAAACCCCAAAATCTCTTTGGGGTTTCAGTCTCAGCCTCAGAGGACACACACGTCCTTTGATGAATTGTTCGCCTCCCTTCCTCAAACCCTAGCGTCGATTTTCTTTCCCCTTTCTCCTTTCGATTGCGCGTACTTTGACTTACCCAGCGAGAGAGAGAGAGAAAGAAATAGGGAGCGATCGATAGGCCATGGAGGGCTCTGTGGCGGAGGATCTCGGAGCCCCGGAGTCATGGGAGGTCACCGGTTTGGACGAGGCCATGAAACGCCTGATGCTTTCCTCCAACAAGGATTCCAAGCCCCCGCAAACTCTCAACGACGTCCCGCCTCTGGTTTCCTCTTCTTCCGATGCTTCTGATAAGTTTTCTGAGGATGCCGTCAATCAGGTCGACCAGTTCCTTCGCGAGGCCTTGCAAAACCCTCGGGAGCGCCTATCAAGTAAGCTTTGCGTTCATCCCCAAGCTCATGTTCATGTTTTTGTTTCTCAAGAAAACTCGAGACGAAATTGAATTTGAATGTGGATTGTATTTGGGGTAATTCGTTATAGTTTTTGTTCCATGATCTTATGTGGGTTGTATGTGACTTGTTGCCTGTTCTACATTGCTTGCATTTTTTCTGCCCATGCCTTAAAGGTTCCCTTTTGAAATGTATGACCTTTGTGGGGTGAATTAATCATGTATGAATAACAGGAATGAATGTATATGAAAACGTAATGAGGTACTGGCCGAACACTTCCATTCATAATTTGAGCTGATATAGTTTTGAGCTTTTATACTTTCTCGGAAAGCTATAGAGATAAAGATTACTTGCTATAATATGCCTTCTAAGTTCTAACTCATGAAATGGTGCTCCATTTTATTTTATCTTTTAGTGCACATTCACATCAAAACAGCCTCAAATTTCATTCATTTAGCTAGTGTTAGTTTCTAAAAGGGTTTAGTAGATCTTGAAGGTGAAAGAGTGATTACGAACACTTCCATTCATAATTTGAGCTGATATAGTTTTGAGCTTTTATACTTTCTCGGAAAGCTATAGAGATGAAGATTACTTGCTATAATATGCCTTCTAAGTTCTAACTCATGAAATGGTGCTCCGTTTTATTTTATCTTTTAGTGCACATTCACATCAAAACAGCCTCAAATTTCATTCATTTAGCTAGTGTTAGTTTCTAAAAGGGTTTAGTAGATCTTGAAGGTGAAAGAGTGATTACTAGTTCTACCTTATCAAACCTTGCTGATCCCAAACCTAATCAAATTGGAATGTTTGACATGAATTTTGTGTGCAATTATGGGAGAATTTGGTAGGTCTTCAGGGTTGAAGATGGAGTAGTAGGATGGTTTTTTGTTGTAATAGAAAAAGTGAGTCAGTTCTGGTAAAACTGAAAAGAGGGAAATTTGCTCAATTTCCTATACAAACTTCTTAACGAGTGTGGTGAATGAACTAGAAGTAAACCTTAGTTTTCTTGCAATATTTTATTGTCCTCATGGCCATTTTATCATAATTATTATCCATCAGGATGTGCTGTCTTGTTTGGATTAACTACAGTAAACCCTATTCATAGATATCTTCTTGTGCAGTTTTACGAATGGAGCAAGATGTGGAGAAGTTTATCCGTGATCCTATTCAGCAGCAACTAGAGTTTCAGCAGTTGCCCACTTCTTATTTACGCTTGGCTGCACATCGTGTGGCTCAACATTATTCGCTTCAGTCAATGGTTTTATTAGATAATAATTTACCCGATGGCTCTGGTTCCAGAATTATTGTCCGTAAAACTCCTGATTGTCGACTCCCTCTGATTCGCCTTGCAGACATCCCTGTTAATTTACCATCAGAAGACGGCGGTGTTACTAAGGTTGCAATAAAACAGAGGCCACAAAAATGGTCACAGGGTGGAAACAGTGCAAACTCAAACTCGTTAAAGGCAAACAGTGCTAAAAGTGTGGAAGAACGGAAAGAGGAGTATAACAGGGCTCGTGCACGAATATTTAACTCTAGTATTAGTATGAGTGGCAGTCCAAGTGGGAAATCAGAAAGTGAACCAAAACAGCAGGATACCCCACAACATGTTCCCTTGGTGATGCCAAAGGTGGAAGATAAATCAAGTGTTTCTGATTTGCACTCTGGTAGGGGTTTACTTGAGTCTTCAACAAGTAGCAGTAGAACAGCTAGAAGTAGGCCAGAGAAGGAGCCGGTTGGGAGGTACAGACCAAATAATAGGGTAGCTATATTTAGGGATCGTGAGATTGACTGTAAGGACCCTGATTATGACAGGAGCTATGACAGGTATGGTTTACAGTTTCTGTAGTGACCATTTATTCTTCTCCCTATTTTTTTTTAAGAAAATATCATGGCAGGAAAGCATTTTTTTTTCTTCCATTTGGTAATGGGATAATGTTTGTTTACTCTTAAGAAAAGTGTTTGGAGATGAAATCCTATCTCATAATTGTTTTCATGGCATCCAGTTTTACTATGTGGGTAAGCTACCACGTCTGTTTTCTACTGACATGATTTTATTCATTTGGTATGCAATTGTTCCTCCAAAGTTGTTACTGTTGTTGAAGTCTGTCCTTTCATCCATTAGGGGACCACGATCTTTTTGTGTTTGGAGGCGAAATCTTGTCTCATAATTGTTTTTATGGTCTTTTTCTATTTGCTTTGCTCTGTTTGCTTAAGCTACCCATCCGTTTCTTTTCTTTTTAGAAAAAAACAAACAAAAGAAAATATGATCTTTCTATCCATTCATAATATGGTTCCTTATCAGCATTGCTATTGTTGTCAGTATTGAAGCCTGTCCTTTATGGTGACCGTGATCTTTTTGGATGATCTGGTCATTACATTGCTCAAACTCTTAAACATCTGCCTTCTGATACTTTACCTCCTATGTTCATTTTTAATCCAACTTTATCCTTAATGAATGCTGCAAGTTGATAGAATCCAACAAAGTTAGAACTTAAAGGTGTAATATTTTGTAGTCCCCCTAGTTTCCATGTAACCCTTACCAGAAAACTGTTCTTGAGCTTAGCTCCAAGTTTATTTGGTCTTTTCTATTTTATAGCTAACCAAAGTTTATGATTAAATATTTTGCAGGTACATGCAAAGATTTGATCCTCGGTTTGGATTCAGTGGTGGCCCATACACCATCCAGCCTATGTATACACCTGCATTGAACTACAACACCGAATTTCCTCAACTTGGTTCTGCTCACAGGCCTCAGATTTCTACTGAGCATCAGCCTCGTCCTCTTCCGCAGCATCTACCTGGGCCTTGGGTTCCACCATCGCCTCCTGCAGGAATTGGGTATGGCCATCCGGAGACCATAATCACACCATTCAATCCAAATCATGTTGGTGCACGATCTACATCTGGCATTTATCTACATTCATCCCAGTATCCTGGTCAGCGCCCTGGAATGCCCTATGTCCATCCTCATGAACATGTTCACCAACCTTTTTCACAGGTATGCCAATTCAACAGCTATCTTCTCTATAGTCAATTAATTAGTCTTATCAATTTGTTGTTGAAGAGGTACTTTTGAAAGAAAAAAAAAATCCAGCTTTTTATTTCCCCACTTTCCAAACATGGTTTGAGGTACTTCCAATTTGCTACTGCATTAGCACATTTCTGATTTGGGGGTGCTGGACAGATTCCTTTTATTTTTAATTTTTATTATAAAATATTTAGGTTGGCTCTTTTGCATCCTGTATTCGTAACTCTCCACCTGATCTACCTATCTACTTCATTGTAATTGCACAAGTGTGTACAAAACTCATCGTTATATCATCTAAATGCATATCATAAGTATGCATAAATTGCAATTTTAGAGCAGTTGTGCATTTTTAGTTGATGCAATGAAAAAAAAATTGTGGTGTTTTTGCTTATATTCACTCAAGGTTTCTCAAGTAATAGGTTTCACTTGTTTTGACTGCTTGGAATATGGTGCTTGTGTTTATTTTTTTTACAGTCTCATCAACAGCAACCTGATGCAAGTTTTGGGTTAGCCCGGCCCCGGTGAGGGCAGGGGCTGTGCCTGCACCCTGCCTGCTTGATGTCGAGCATGAATTATACTGGGCTGCGAGAGCCGCACATATTTCAGATGGCAGGAGTGCAGGCATAGGGAGCCAAGGTGTGGTTGAGTGGATGGGATCATTTCTATGGACACAGACATCATCTGTTCCCCCCATTCCTTGGTTCCAACGGAAGCTTCTTCCATCAGTGATGGATGATGAAGAAGCTCCATGGTTTTGGAAATATATCTAAAATGAAGAAGCTCCATGGGTTTGGAAATATATCTAAATAAGCTCTCTTTAGAGCTTTGTGACCCTATGATGACGAAGACAATTTAGAAGAATTCAAACAGAGCTGAGAAAGTATGTCTCTGCTTGGATGAAGGTATGCTCTCCAGCTACTATTAAGATTCACACATTTGTGCACGCGTAGACACTACACACACACGCGCCCAGAGTGATGTTTTTTGGACAGTCCAAATTGTGCACTTGCATCACAGCCCGCAATTTAGATATAAGATGTTGAGGTGCACAGTTAGCAATTAATTTCCAGTTTTCAACTAGTTCTCCTTGGATCACCTCGCCTCATTTGCATATAATATATATATATATGATTAAAGCTTAACCAAATCGTTTTGGGTTTTAGTATGCAGGCTTTGGTTACTTAAAAGAGTAAGCAGCATCGATACGTCTCTTTGCTGTCTTAAAGCACAAATAAGAGCCAGAGGGAGTCTGAATTGGAGGATACACTGAAACTATGCTTTTGGGAAGTTTGATCTGCGTCCAGGTTGTCCTGACAAAAGATCTCATAGTTTAACTTTAATGCTTTACTTGAACAATCTGCAGGAAAATAAAAAAAGGAATTCTGCATCATGTATCATACGACACTTTGCTCTGTAGTTATTTCTTTTAATACAGTTTTTATTAAATTCATAAATATGTTGTAGCATTTCTAATACCCTTGAGGGACTGCGGTTGTGAAATTGTCTGCTATCTAGGCATGGTATTGTGAAGGCTACCCTTTGTTAGAAACACCGTCCTAGTTGTTTTCTGAGTTCCATTGCAGTGCCGTTGTATGTATCATATGAATTTACGAGTATGTTGGTTGTGGCTACCTAAATGTTTGCATTCATTACGAGTCGAGGCAGTGTTGGGTACACTAGAGGCTTATTTTGACGATGTGTACATGTTTGCTTTTGTTTTGTATGCCTTTACAATTATTCAGTGGAAACATCAGTCCAGAGAAAGTTGTTGAATTTCTTACGGGGGTAGTAAGAATTAGGTTTCATTCTTCCCAGTTTATGTGTTGTCTGCGCACTCGTACAAGAAGTATCTACAATTCCTTCGCCCACCACTTACGGTTTCAGCAAACCTTGTGCATGCTCGCACCGCTCTCTTCTCCCAGCTTCTTGTGCAACAATTTCTAGTTCAAATAAGCAGTTGTTGTAGGAACCACATTCGTGGATTTGGTTACACCAGATTGCGTGTGGTGGAGTTTTATTTCCGAAAATTATTCATGGAGGATGAAACGGTAGCTAATTTCGAAGGAAAGCTATGAATTACTAGTACCCAAATTTATGAGACAACATAAAAATTTACCTGTAAAGTGAAGCACTTTCTTGTGTGGATGAATATTCATTCTCGGGCATTAGGAGAATACCGATTCAGTTTTAGAACCGAAATAAAACAAGAACCAACCGGTCTGGTTTGGTCTGAACTCGGTTTCGGTTTTGGCTTTTGGTTTGCGGTTCAATATGCCCAGTTCACTCCTCTCCGCCTCACATGCAAAAGCATGGTGTTCTGAGTTCTAACTCACCTTTTGCTGGCTGGCGGAATCTCTCACATTTTCTTCAACTCTTGACGTTGCTAAAACTACACAAAAGTCACCCTCACGTGCATTGCTCACCTCTTCTACGTGCATTTCACTAACTTTATTTATACAAGCCTCTCTCTCTCTCTCTCTCTCTCTCTCACGCACACCGACACCGGGGGAAAATCAGTTAATAAAGTACGTTAAAATCAAGTTCATGTACACGAAAGAGGCAGACAAAGGGGAGCTTTGCGGATGGGTGTTGCTTCTTGTCAAGTTATTCGCGTGGGTTTGGGGTGCTTGTTTTATCCCTGTACACAAAACTACAGTATTTATACTCGAATACAAATTAGAATCCACATCTCTTGCCTCTTTTGATACTCTGCATTAAAGAAAACAAGGTTCGTTTTGCATCACTCTGTTTCTCCGACAACATTATTTCATCTATGCCCAGCCCGGATCATCTTTATTCTCCATTTGTGATGAGAAACCGAAAAGTTTAGTATCCGTTGTCTACCATATATACTTGACATGACCAATCTGTTTCATTATTTCAGGGACAATAGGCGCAAATCGGTATGGAGAAGCTCAACTCGCAGATATATTTGCAAAACAGTCGTATAATCCAACAAAATCAAATGCTAAGGAAGAAAGCTCAAGTGCTCAACCAAGAGAATCAGGCTTTGTTATCGGAGCTCAAGCAAAAACTCTCTAGAGGCAGCTCAAAACCAAGCCCGAATTCTGACGTTGATGTTACTTCTGCTTCCTCAGATTCCACCAGTTGCAATAAGGGTTAGCCGGGCACACATACTTGCCTAGCAGATATAATCCCCCCATCCTGTGCTAACTGTTGCAGTTCTTGTTACCTTTCCCCAAACAAAAAAAAAAAGTCTTGTTACTCGGCCCATCTTGAACAAATTTTCATTTTGGATTGAAAATTATGTGATGAAAAAAGTATTCTTGAATAGAGAATAGAATAATAAAATCAAGAGAGTTACAAAATGCGACTTACGAATCTACATCCAGCTCCTTGTCTATGCTTGAGAAAGTTTGGTAGAACGCCTTGAAGTACTTGTACGCAATATCTACATCTTCCTTCCCACAAATCTCTCTCACACTGCAGTTAAAGATGAAAATAAAGAAAACAACAGTGATACTTGGTGATAAGTCCTGTCACATTATATCTCAACGCATAAAGGAGCGCTAATATGCAGATGTACAATATTAGCCTATCTTTTATTGTTAAGACAGCAACTGAACAATATTATTTCACTTTACTAGTTTAGTAGCTGCATTTCTTTCGTTACACGGTGAGAGAGAGGCTCACTGTTGAAATAAAATGTGATGCAAGACTACTAGTAGTTGCACCAATGGTAGTATCTTAATAAATAAGAAACATAATCCAACTAACTGTAGGCTATTTAAATTCCCAGGTAAATACTCTCTGTAAAGGTTTTAAGGAACTTCTCCAAAAGTCTGTTTTTCTAAAGAAAAAAGTAGTCACTCCCCACCCAGTGGTATTCAGTTATCTACCCATTAGCAAATATAATCCAATATACCAGTGGGATATTCTCAATCCTATAATCTACTATTAGTAAAGGTTTTAACAAACATCTTTCAGCTAAATTGTTGCGATTAATAATACTAGAGTTGTCAAAAGATATGCCACGACATGAAAATATGAAATAAATGAAGCTCGTCGGAGTGAAATCAATAATGAAAATACAGAGTCAGCTAAACTTCATAATTAAATATATCAGTCGGCATCAAAATTTTGAGATCACATTACTCTCTTTTGATACCTGTGCATAGAAAGCTGAGGAATGCCACAATCAACAGTATGAATGCCGGCCCCCGAAGCTAGTATGGGACCTATGGTAGATCCACATCCCATATCGTTTCTCACCACAAATTCCTAAAGGGAAAAAAATAAAGTACTTAAAATGCTATGAGCTAAATTAGTGTTATCTGAGATTTCTGAGGTAAAGAATGTCAAAGATAACCAATGAGATAAACCACTCAATATTCTTTATTTACAATAATGTGTCAATGAAATCATTTTTATCTCATGACAATATGCTATAAATTGAATTCCAAAATAGGATTTATCTTTAGAGTGATGTACCTGATCTATGATGCTATCTTAGAAAGGAGACTAAATTAAAGAGGGATGAGAGCAAGGAGGCAGCTTTACATTTAGAAAAGGAAATCCTTATTTTTTCAACATGGAATTACTAGTTATCTTTGGAGATTGTTTGTGGCGTGGATTTCAGTTTTTTACTGTAATATGTCAGCAATATGTAAATATACTTCCAGAAAGTAATCTTCTGTTGGTCATTCAATAAAGGAAAATTAATAAATTTCTCTCCATGAGGATGTTAGTATAGTACATGAATAGCACAAAACATAAGGTCAGTTTCCAAAGAAAAGGGCAACTACTCTACTCGACTTATTTAATGCAAGATTCTTAAATGGTTTAAACAAACTGGGCCCCCAGCAGTAAATACCTGGGTTGGAAGGTTATGGATTTTGCCAATTTCTTTGAAAATGAAAGATGTGACTTCACTAGTAGCATAGCGCTGGTTTGCATTATGCTTGATAACTAGACCTTTTTGCATTTGTGGCCGATGGTGTTCTTCATGCTTGTCCATGAAATTTGGATGTACTCCATGAGCCATGTCTGCAGACACTATTACGAAAAAATCCCAAATATACACTTAGAAATTCTGTTGACACATTAAGAACAAAAAAATTGAAGAAAAGAAGCTGGATACTGGTCACAAAAGAATAAGATTAGCTTTGTAACAGCGTGACTCAATCATACCAAGAAATGATTGGCGAATTGCGCGCTCAAAAACACCTTCACCAATGTACTTGTCAGCTAAGCAACTAATTATATGTCTCATAGCCTGAAACATGGTTGGTGCACCAGCCCCCTGAATTGAACCTGAACCAACCTAAACAAGAAGAGATGAAGATACAATCTGTGAACTGGCCGTAATGGCAAGAGAAAATGCACAAGTAAGATTACCATCATCTATAAATACAGCATGAGTAATCCTTGTAGAAATACGAACTACCAGAATGATACTAACAGACATCTGACAAGCAGTGATACCTGGTGTTATTACTTAACATGCTGCTCACAAGCTGGCCAGTCCACAATACCACATTTTAAATAAGCAACAAGATAAAGTGAAGATAGAATATTCAATTGTGAAACTTTACAGAAGAAAGTAAATACTCTCTTTCCATAGTGTGGCATGTGTGGTCATGCCACACAAGCATTTTACTTTTGTGGAGGTCATGAGCGTTGTAGACCATCGCAAGTTGTTGAAAACGTCAACCACACTGTGAAGTTAATGTGACCAATGACATTGAGGGGCATCACAAGAAACATACTCTACATATACAAATTATACATACTATATAGAGGGAGATTCAATTGAGGGATCCCTCAAATAAGTATTTGAGGGATACCTTTGCAGGGTACACTCTGCATTTATAACAATATATGTTTATACTTTCTAGTCATTCAACAAATTTTACATTGTCACAATGGCAGATAATGACAAACTAGTTTCGCATAAGAAGGAGAAGATGTGAGGCACAGAAACTATCCTTAGAGGCATATGAATACAGAACATAAAGTACTGGGATCAGGATAAAGGAAAATTCATGCTGTGAGAACTTCTGATGAAGGAAATACCTCTTCATTGTCAAATAAGGCAACCATTCGTACAGAATGTTCACTTGCTAAATCACCAGGTGATTCACACGAATCAATGAGAGCCCTTAACGCACAATAACTTGAGGCAAGATTATCTAATCTTCCTGAAAAAATAAATTCATTGTTTCCACCTCCAAGGCAGCTTGGTTGGGTATCACAAATATTCAACTCCAAACTCACTATGTCGTCGATTTTACAATGGACCTCATCTGATAAAACCTGAAAATCACAGCTGTGTTATAGAAATGTGTCTTGCACCCAAAACAAGTGCACCATTACCTTAACAATGACCACAGAAATGGATAAATTTAAAAAGTTACAATGTTACATAGAAACATAAGAGTTCACTTGTGCACAAGATGTGACCAATAATTCATATAATACATCGATATATATCTGTGATTCTGTGATATAAGTCAAAAATGAAAACTGGATCTTTCTGGTCATTTGATATGGAAATTCCCAAAATACCACATCAAACATCATAATTTTACATCATCTAATTCTTTATAGATAAATACCACTACTATTTAGTCTCATGGTTTTAGCACATCTACTCTTCAGAGATTAGACA